ATAGTGCAGCTTATCCCAGTGTTCCCTATACCACTAATGTAAATAACATCCGAATGACAAGCGGCAGCAACTAAGAATGAATGTCGCTGGAGATCTTCCTCAGGATCAGAATAAACAAGCACATTTAGATTGTGACAGACTATCACAGATGGCGTTTGACTGGTTTTCACAATAGCGGAGATGATGGTGCACACAGACAGACAGATAGATGTTGGAAAATATGGCAGGAGTTTAAATTGTTGTTTTTTTTATCTCTTTGCCAGTGTTCAGTGTTACTTTATAATGTCAGCACAGGTTTAAGCCTTTTTGAAGACCTGTTTACTCACAACCCCGGCGGCTCTCAGCTCCTGCAAGCAAAGAAAACATACTTAAAGGAAAAGTTGACCTAAATATGAAGATTGTGTTATCATTTACATCACCCTCATGTCATTCCAAAACCGCATGACTTTCTTTCCTCTTTGGAAACGCAAATGTCAATGAAAGTTAGCAGGGTCTTGTCGACAAAAACACTGAGACATTTTTCTAAATATCATCTTTTGTGTTCCACAGAAGAGTAAATCATGTAGGTTTTGTTCCTGCTATAATTAACACGGTACGTTTCTTAACAGTGGTCTTTTTTTTAGCACAAAACAACAATGTACAGTGCCAGTAAGTTTGGAAACTATTACTATTTTTAATGTTTTTGAAAGAAGTCTCTTATGCTCATCAAGACTGCATTTATTTATTTTACAGAAAAAAAAAATGATTATCAATGTTGGAAACAGTTTTTTTTCAGGATTTATTAATGAAAAAAGAAAAGTTAAAAATACAGCAAAGAAAGAAAAACAAAACAAAACACTGAACCTAAACTTTTGAATGGTAGTGTATTGTAAAAGATATTTCTATTTTTCTTCATCAAAGAATCCCGAAAAAAGTATCACAGGTTATAACAAAATATTAACACAACTGTTTCACTAATAATATCATATAATAAACCAGAATATTAGAATGATTTCTAAAGGATCATGTGAAACTGAAAACTGGAGTAATGATGCTAAAAATGTCAGCTTTTCATCACAGAAATAAATAAATTATTCTAATTTATAACAATATTTTCCCTGTATTTTTGATCAAATAAATGCCGCCTTGGTGAGCATCAGACACTTCTTTCAAACACATTAAAAATAGTAATGTTTCCAAACTTTTGACCAGTACTATGTATAATTTGATGGTTTCAGCAATGTCCAGTTCTTTGGCAAAGCTACAGCAACCTAGTCATAAACGAGGTTTGGTTTATTATGCAATGATCAAACGCACAGCAGAAGCCAAACATCTGTTGTTTTTACCTCCACCCATCATATTCCAGTCACCTTCATTTAAAAATCCTATCAAATCATAATGATGTTGTTTGACGCCCATTACAATTATTTAAAACAAGTTCAAATGTATTCTAATAGTCAATCTGTCAATGTTCTGCCTTTCAGGTGCATCATCACAGGGATGAACGTTTTGAGATTTGAGAATAGCTCGTCCCCCACCATCTGCCGCGTAGCCTAAACACAGTTTTCGAAATGCTGTACTGCATATGCCTTTGGCTATATTTACAAATGGCTATGCCTTTGGCTATATTAACAAACCTGTTAGGGAATACCATCAAGGACATTACAAATGAAATGCATGAGAACTGGCCTACCAAGTGAAGCTCATCTCCCTCAATCCAGTGGGTCCAGCCCCTCCCCTCGATCTCTCCTTTCTGCACACACACCAGGTTATCTCCATCCCAGGTGATAGTGGTCTATAATGCATAACAGAGAAGGTGATTTATTTTTAACCTACACAGATAGGTTACACAGTTGCATTAGGACTGCAAAGAAACAGATTTCGCAATAGAAGTTGGAGGAGAAAAGCACATCTAGAATTCCTCGACAAAATGATCAAATTAAATTTGTTTGCAAATGTGATTGCACTGTGATTACATGCTGCACAAAGTATGTTTGAAATGCCAATTTCTCTGTCTGCTTTTAGTAGCTGGAATGAAGAGAAACAATGTCTGGCACTGTGTGGACTAAATGGGGCGAGTGATTTTTGTTCAGGACAAACCGGGTCACAACATCTTTACTAAATGCTGCGTTTGAAGTGTTTTTTTTTATTATTGACTGCAACTCCAAAACTATTTTGAGTTACGTACATCAAAACGTGAACTTGAACAATGCAATTTTTCTTTAGAGGAGACACATTCACATCTAGTATAACACAACTAACAAATTGCTCATGCCATGGAAACTAACACAACTATGATAAAGAATACTACAATACCGTATTACTACACGTACTACTATCCATTGGAAATCATCAATGTCATTTTTTTAGAGAAAAGGCAACCTTAGGGGTTAAAGAGGTAGTTCACACGAAAAATGTGTAAATTCTGTCATCTCTTGCTCACCCTCAAGTTGTTCCAAACCTGTATAAGTTATTAAGTTACAGATGATTATCTCTACACATCTGCAATTGTCTTATCACAGGTCTTAGATATGCCAAGTTTCTCCAAATGAAAGGAAAACTGAGGGGAAAATAAAAGGAGAGAGAGAAATGCTTCTTATTAGATTAAAGAGCCAATTATTGCTCTCATTCCACACTTTTCCCTTTTCTTATTAGTTGAGATTATGAACTGTAAATGACATGCACAATTAGTGATTTTCAAGGGAAATTACATTATACAAATGGCAACCTTATGAGAGAATTATTACTGATACTGGATTGTTATGATTCGTGTGTCTACTTAACCATGCAGGCCCATTTGCATGGCCACATTTGTTAAAGGTAAGAAAAATCGCAAAAAATGTAGTGTCTATACAAAGAGTCAGCATCGATGAAGAATCAAATGTGTAAGTTCATCTTGAGTCAAATGGCAAAGTTTAGATAATAGCATTAAAGTTATAATTTTATGCTTCACAATTAGAAAAATATATAAAGTATGCTTTTAAGCCTTGAATGTTTGCTCACCATACATTTCCTGTCGTCCACTCCACTCAGATCCTCCTCAAACTCCTGACCAACCACAAAGTCCATATTGTAGTTCTTGAAGGTGCTGAGAGTCTTTATGATAAAGTGATCTCCATCCTGACTGATGTCTTTATCAGGCTTCAGCAGGGTGGCAATTTTTCTAATAGCTACATTTACATCTGGAAAAAAAAAAAAAATGACACCATGTGAAAATGTGAACTTTCCAGAATACCCTTATAAAAAGGATTACCCAAGTACAGTGATGGTTACAGATGGAAAGATGGAAAATTTCAACAACATGGTACTGAATGATTACCAGAGACATGAACATGCACAATGTTATTTACATGGCAATCTGGAATACACAGGTAAATGTCCAAAACACAAGGGTACGTTTCACTACCCTTTTCTTAGTGTAAGCAACATCTAGTAAAATTAAAAAATAAAAGACAAAAAAGTAGAAAACTGCCATTTTGTTTCCCTTACAACAATTTGCCATGGTAAACAGTAGGTGGTACAGTAAACAAATATAAAAAACAAATATACTTTTTCTAAACGTGTCCAAGAAAAGTAGTTCAGATGTGAACACTGATTTCATAATGTGTGCAATAGAGTGATACATATGATCCAATACATAAAAGAGATAACAAGAAACTAACCAACAACCTGAGAAAATAGTTAAACTAATTTTCACATATTTGTTTTTATTTATCTATCTGGAGGTCTTCTATCATTTCTTTCTTTTTGATTTATTAGAATAGTACTAAACTTGTTGATTTTTGTGGTACTTTTGTGCTATATGACTATAAAAGGGTAAATGGTCATCTTCTTGGTCATCAGAAATGAACGGAAAACAAGAAAAATACAAAAATACAGAGCTATTTTGGGGTACAATCTACAAATAGTAATAATTAGTAGTAATTGATAATGTCTATTTTTATCCAACTGCAAAACCTAGTAAGGATTTGTCTAATAATACTAGGCTATTATAAGCAAAGGGATTAAACACCCATGTATGCTATACCAGCATCTAGTGGCTATGCCACGATATTACATTTGATTACATATTTCTTCCAACAGATGGTGCCAATCTGCCTTCCATGCATTGGATTTAAAGTAGCTGTAGATTTGCATAATTTTAGTATGAACGATAATTTAAACATACTATATGTATCATCATATCATCAATGATATTTGTACATAGAAATAAATGGTGCATAATCTAGAACTGAATATTGTCTAGTCCATGAAGTAAAATAAAAAAAATATTAAATAATAAATATTACTGAAACAAAATAGGCTATACCCTATATTCAATTGAATAATAGGATAGCATCTTAATGAGGAGAAAACTCACCCAGAGCTTTCAGGTACTCTTCAAAGTTCTCGTTGGAAATCATTTTCCAGTAGCCGTTATAATCAGCAACCATTTCTGCAACTCTACTGATGGGTTTGTTTGTTCAGAGAAGATCCGATAACGCTGCTCCCCTGCGACCAAATGCTTTCTTCTGAAAGAACCCCTTATTTAAAACGAAAACGGTCATCATAATCCGAAGATTTGTGAAATAAACGTTCTTCAGTTGGATATTGTTATGGAAACAGTCTCTCCGCCCCTAAGTGTGGATCCAACAAAAGTTTTTTTTTGTTTTAATTTCCATCACGAAAACTTGGATACGAAACCACGCCATGTAATTACGTCATATTAAATCAAGAGCTGTAGGAAAGTGCAGTGAACTGAAACAGTGCCAGTCCGGGGCTAGTTGTCACAAGAACTGTCACATTGTTTTTATATCTATTATTTGTTAATTAATATGAATAATCAATACGCATTAAGTAAGTTGTGTTGGCCAAAACAATGCTTTTTTTATAGGCTACGTTACATGTTTGGAGCTTATTTGTTTTGTTTTTTTTTTTTTTTTTTACTGAAATGATTATCTGTTCAACTTTGACAACACACACCATATAATCTGGCAACATGATGCTACTGATACTAAACACAAAAACAATACTCTTACTCATAACACTGAAAATGTTTTTAATAAAAAACAACAACAGTTCACTCACATTAAATATAGCTGTCGTTTGAAACCTTTCATTGTTACAGGGGATGGACTTTTTATTCCATAGATTGTGTTTATAAATCAGTCTTATTTGTTCGTCAAATTTAAAAAAAGTATGTTTTGTGCTTGATAAAAGATTGAACTCAATTGTCACTCCTTTCATCTGTCTGATGCTTTGAATTAGCAAACATGCGTGAAACCCTTCTGTGCAAAGCAGGAGCCATCTAGAAGAGAGGGACTGCTTCTGTTGAATTAATTCCACCAGCTTTTCTTTTGAGACAGCATGAACAAAGGCGTTCTTTTAAAACACAAACTCCACACTCAAAGACTGTCAGCAGGAGGGCTTCAACATAGCAAAAAAAAAAAAAACACCATTAAATCTACTAGCGGGTTTGAGCCAGAACTCACTGTTGGTGATACAAGGACAAAAAGAAATGATTTAAATCGACAACCCTTCAAATATCCCAAACCACATTCTTCTATTTTATTTTGTCAGAAACTATTTTCCCCCCACCGACAAAGCTTGATGAAACGTCTTTAGGGACCTGACAACATGAATGACGCTTTCTGTGCAAATGGAAATGGAAGAAGCAATGTTTGCTCTCCAAAGTGTAAAGGCTCTGTTATTTATCTTCCTTGTGACATTCAGCAAAAGTCAACAAATCTCATACCTGCTGAACATGGACCTACAGCTCTGCAGTGATCTGGGAAATCTAACTCCTGCAGAGAGAGGATAAATTTCTAAATCCCTCTCCACATATTACACTAGGAAACCATGGTCATGGATAATGCTCACTTTACACAAGACAAAATATGAAACTCCTCTAAAGCAGCTTTCACAGGCAGGAGGGAATTTTAATCATTTGAAACATATTTTGCTATTTTTTTTGTGACTGGTGGTCTCATGTAAAGTTGTTGGGCAAAATTTTGCGGGGCGAATTCATATCAGAATCGCACAGATCCTAAAAAGAATCCATGTGATCTGGAGTTTCTCGAAAGGGGTTTTGATTTTGATTCTCATACGAATTCGCTGTGCTGACCAACATACAGACACTTGGTTTGAAAGTGTGCTTCATATATCTAAAGCGATAAAAGTGAACGAAATTTCGAGGGAGGCAAAAAAGGAAAAAACTTTTCTCCTTTTTTTAAAAAGGTCCACTGCTCACAGGGAGTTTTCTATTGGTCAACATTGCAAATTCATGTTACCAACTTGAACTTAATGAGAAATCTGTTTGAGGAAATCCTTCAATGTTCCCAATTGCGTGGATTCCGATTCTTTGAACAACGGTACGTGATTGCACCTTAAAGGCCAATTTACACTGCACCAACAGAGCTGGATTGAACATGTTCAATTGGCAAAAACAAGCATCAACCAATGGCAACAGATGCCAAGAGGTAACACACTGATCAGGCAAAACCCCACAGCAATATAGTGTGGGCCCAGATCCGGCCCACATCTAGGCCTTGTGGAATCCAAATGTACCAGATGTGGGCCGGATCTGGGCCGACACTATATTGCTGTGTGAGAAGTGTCTGTTGCCATTGGTTGTCATTGGTCGGTTCAATGGGAATTGGCCTTTAGACCACCTCAGGCTCTGAATTCCCCAAAGCCTACATTAGTCTTGTATTGCTTGGATGGCAAGAGGTCGTAGTTTAACGTCTTTGTTCTTCATCTCACTGTCTTGGGTATAAAGGTTGTGCTCTCTTATGTAATCAATGACAGAGTCTGGTAAAAGATATTTAACACTGTGGCCTCTACGTAGGGCTCGTCGGATCTCCGTAGCACTGATCTCATTGTGTACCCACTCCCGAACCAGGAAAATGCTCTGCCGGTGCCTGGACAACAAGTCGGATTCATGTATAGCCCGGTCTGGCTGAAGGTTACCACGGCTCACGCAGACCAGTCCGAAGCGGCCCACCACCTCCTCTACATGATCGTCCATCCACAAACCAGGCACCTTAAACGTGTCCATGAAATCAGCTCCACAAAGCAGCTTCAACTGTGGGACACCTGTGGGGGGAATCGGTCACATTACTGATGTATTCAAAAGATGATATAAGAATTGTTTCCTATTTTTGAACCATTCAACTGTTATCAAAAATGGAGTAGAAGGGAAGCAGCACTTCATCATAATACTGTCAAAGTTGTCAAAAAGAGCGGTAGAAAACTGACAACTGCTTATGAAGCTGAATATGGTGCTTCATTTGAACGATGGCAGTGTGCAGAGCAAGAGCCTAAGGCTGTACCAGAGACTGACACAATAATTTAGAAGACCTAAATCAGTGATATCTAAGAGATATTTTTGGAGTGCCAATCCATTCAAAATTGCTCGCAGCACCTTTTCTTTAATGAGTCTGTAATAAAAGGAACCGAGTGTTTCTGAACAATATAAATGTGATTGCTCATTTTCAATGTCATAATTTATTCACCCTTGTGCCTTTCAAGACCTGTACTTTTTAAAACTAAAACTATTAAACATTTTGATAATTGACATAAAGCTGAAAAAAATTCAAATATAAATATTAGTGGAAAAATGTCAAATTAAAAATGTATTAGCGCTATACAGAAATATAATATATTGTATATTAATACTATATATGTACTAAACAATAAAGACATTCAATTCTTATTATTAATATTATTTTAAAAAAGACAAAAACTAATAAAATTACATGTGCATATAACAACCTTACTAAAAAAAGAAAACTGAAAATATAAAAATTAAAGCTAATTCAAAATATGAATAAATATTAGAATAGTCAAGTCAAGCCAAATTTATTTATACAATGGAGATTGTTTCATTGCAGATTCACTGTAATGAACAGAAAAATAACAAATGTTATTGTCAATTCATCAACTTTGAAACAACTTCAATTTCAGCTTTAAAGCAGCTCTACAAAAGACAATGCAGTGTCAATGGTGAGACAATTAGTAGTATTATTAGCATATAATTAAGTAAAATAGTATAAGTATAATAAGAGCATCTGCAGTGATAGAGCGATACTATACAGTCCCAACAACTTATGTCAAATTATCATAACCTTCTGCATCCTCCCTGACCTAGAACTCTGGAATACTGTAAATTACACAGTAGAAACAGCGTTCAGCACATATTTTGTGCCTGTTAGCAGATTTGCATCTTTCCTTTGATGTAAAGTTTGCAAATACAATAAAAAAAAAACAATGCTTAGTGAATTTCCCAGCCTTTAAAAATGTTATGGTGGCTCAAAGCATCACATACACAAAATTATACATTTGACACTCCTGGACCCCTTGCATGAAACTGGCAGAAATCTCACTTATTTCTTTCTCAATGCTTCATTAGAAATCATATCATGGCCAGCAATGCTAGGTCTAGCCCTCAGCATGGATATTTACAGCATATTAAAAAATCAATAGAGTGCTTTTAACTCTAATTCTTTCTCTATAACAAGTGTCAGAGAAATGGCTTTTGTTTAATCAGACATGAATGGTAGGGGGCAGGAAATGAACCTCGCAGGCCCACTAAAGCTCTTTATTTCAACTCCATGTGACTAAACAGACCTAAAGTGCACTGCGAGGGTCTGTGGAAACACCACCCTTTTCATACTTATTCTAATAATGCATACATTCATGTAAACATAGTTATTAAAAATATTGTGCACATTTGAATACAATCACTAATGTTTCCAGAAAACCATAAATGGCTTAAAGTACCGAATTTCTCTGAATCGCCAAAAAGTGTCTTGCATGAAGGCAATTTTAATAAAACCCCTGTGCTAATTCAACATGAAATATAAAAATTAAACATATCTCTTTCTGAATAAGTCAATCATTTTCAACATCTTTCAAGTTAATAGCAACTGATTTGTTTATTTATCATTGTAATAGACGGATGAGGAGGAGCTCGTTTGTTATCTTCACTGTACTGTCAAGCTAAAGAAAATACGGATGAAATAAATGATATCAGAACATAGGGTTTGGAAAGAATCAAGGGATCCTGTGAAAGGTTTTTAAGATAACAGGGTTTTCGTGTGCTTGTGTTCTATCATTTTTGTCACTTGTCTTGGCTTAAAGTTGTCCTGGCTATTAATCTCAGCTTCATTAATAGTCCGGGCACGCTTGTCTTAAGCCCAGTCATCCCGTGGAGGGTATTAGACTTCATTAGCATGCACCTCTACAACACCCCCAAATAAAAGCACTTTTGAAAAGAGGCCTAACAGCGCTTGTGCTGGCCAGAAAGAAGACAACGGCCTCTTTTAAATGCACCAGAATTACAGTATCTAAAGTGATTAGCAAAGACGGAAAATGCTCTGTTAGGCAAGAGAGGAGGCTTAAAAGAAACCGAATTGTGTTGAGAGGTTTCTGTGGTAATTTACAAAGACATACTGAGAGGTGGGCGGGGCTTACCAGGGGCTGGTCGCTCATTTGTGGACGGGTCCTTGCTGTGGTCGTACTGAGCGGCTATCTGGCCATAGTGGTACCTGTGTGTTTAGAAACAAACAAGAGAGCATGAATGGCCATACTGTTTAGGTAATCAGCTTATGAACATGGGAGAAGCTTTACATTCTCACTGAATTTCATGAGCCTATAGATTTACTTCTCCAATCTCTCACAAGAGGCTTTAATCAGCTTTGGTGTTGCGAAGGAGTGTGGAACCATCACAAGGAGATAATTATTGAGCAAACAACAGTTGTTAAATCTATATATCGCCCACTTGCATGCGAGTGTTTAATGTATAAAAGGGAATAGTAGATTTTAAGGTATAAGAGCTTTTATGGTGAACCAACCAGGGCTGTCATACAGAATTGAATTGCGAATGCCTTTTAAAGAATTTGAATTGAGATTCCAAAAAAAAAAGGTTGCATTTCTGCATCTAAATTTGAAAGTAATTTGAGTGTTTATAAGGTAGATGAATGTATGATGGACGGACGGACTGATAGATGACAAAGCTGAATTATAAGCTCATGTCACATGTTCCTTCAGAAATCATTCTAATAAGCTGATTTGGGGCTCAATATAATATTCCTTATTATTAATATAAAAATGACGAATAGAAAATTTAAAAGAAAACCATTTATTTGAGTCTTTACTGTCACTTTTGATCAATTTAATGCAATCTTGCTGAATAAAAAGCTTTTTAAATGAATTAATAAATAAAATCTTTCAGATCCCAAAACTCATTGTTATGTATTTTCTATGTGAAATGATACAAGCAATGTTGATGTCTACTTTTTGCAACAGCCTTTTCATAAGGAGTGTACCTTAAAAATGCTCACTGGCTTTTAGAACAGAGCCTGTATGGCACAATGTCCTTTAAAATAGCAAAAACTCAACCGAGTAATTCAACACATAGGGGTCAACTGCAAGGGCATATAAGCAATTTTGTATTTCATCCAGTTCTGCCAGGAAGTAAATTGCGAACCTAGAAAGATAAAGTCCTGGCATGGGACCCTGGCACAAGTACAGCCAGCCTCCTCCCTGGCATCGGAGTATTAATTAGCCACCTAAGGGCACAGCTAACAATTGCCATAAAAAATTTGAGTACCCAGAGGGGTCCTTAAAAAGTCTCTTGTTACTATCTGAGGGATTCAAGAGGAGGAATGGCCCATCAAGGTAAAAACTGAGGGGACATGAATTTGGCATGGGTACAAAATGAAAACCACTAAAAGCCGAATACTAAAGGATGACAGGGTGCCTCATATTTTCTGTGGCAGAATCCGAGGAGAATGAAAACTGTGGCTGTTATGATGGACAGCCGGACTGGAATGAGTCACGTCAGTGCCTGGCTATTTGACATCTCATACACAGGGAATTTAAGGATTCGGCTCCTATAAAGTTTTGGCTTTAGCTCAGCTCAGATGGTTCGAAGATGACTGTGAGTTTGTAGAGGGTAATGCAAGGTGAATTCACATTAAAAGCGACATATGAAGATATAAAGCCAACATGTAAGATTTCTACAGGAAATATTGAATATCTATATTCTATAGCTGCTTTTTAGTCTTGTTCTTTTATATTCTTGTATTGCACTGTATAAATTAGACTTCTGGGAATTCATATATGCGATATAAGACTCTTTAAGTCCTAATGTGCACCATCAGTTCATTAAAGTCAACATCATGTAACTGTATGGCGTATCATAATAAACTTCATATTATTTGATGTGAACAACACCAGTATATTTCAAATTTGACGTAAAGAAAAAAGGGCAACTTTTCTATCATCAAAGATGACTCTATAAACTTCTGAGCCTTTTCTGGGATAATGGAGGAATATAATATGCATTTAGCACCCCATCTGTCAAAACCAGTTAATGTTTCCTTCACAGTTGTGTTAAAAGACTTTCTCGTCTTGTCAAATTTTTGACTGGGAAAATGATTCACATTAATCATGGTAAGAAGCCAATGCAGTAGGCTATACTTCATTCTTCGCTAAAATTGTTCTCTCTCTTTCTCTCTCTATATATATTCACCTCATGGTCACCACCGTCTCTGTCCAATCCGCCTGCTTACTCTCCCAGTCATCTACGGAAACCCAGTCAGAGCTCTGCAGGGCCAGTCTTGCCATAGCAAGTCGGTGTTTCGAAGCAACAAGGCCCTGTTTACCATAACCATCACTGACAGGAGAAACAATGCCACCCACCACACGATACAGCCCTGCGAGATAGAAAAAGGCAACATATCTGACCCAAATTGAGTCAAATACATCATTATCAGTTGTCACATTTCAATGGTACCACAGTTCCTGTAGCTCAGTATAACAGTATAACAATCCCAACAACATGGGTTCGATTCCTAGGGAATGCATGTAATGATGTATATCATGAATGCAATGCATCAGAGACTTTTGGATTAAAGGTGCCATAAGTGATTTATGAGAAACGCTGTTAAAAGTGGATTGGACCGAGCACCACAACACACGTGTAGCCAATCAGCAGTAGAGGATTTAGACACTCATGATGGGGAAGGAGTAAGAGTAAGCAAGGGGGAGATTTAAAGAAAGATAGATAGAAAGAGAGATGGCTGAGAGACATTACAAAAGAGAAAAGGTCATAGGAATACCAATGGGAAAAGAAGGGTTAGAGCTTTGATCAGGCAAGGGCTTTAGGACCTGTGTTAATATTAGAAAAGGTTTCCAGCGCTGGACAGACCTTAGAGGGAAGGCATGAAAATGAACAAAGAGGTTGAGTTGTTTCTGCTCCATACATGAGTGACATTGGTTTTGCTATGTTTCACAGCATCCAGTATCAGAATTTTTCGGAAAGCATTATTTTACATTGTGTGTTTGTGCATTTTGTGGGCGGAGCAATGAAAGGAGGGGGTGTGTTTGTTTGGGTTGATTTCAATATCAATAGTGTTTCTAAAAAATTACTTGCATTAATGCATCTGCCTTGAAATGTAAATAAGTGGCTTATTAAATATACCTTGATTCCTTTTCTAAGAGCAACAGCCCAACAAAATTCACTGATTAACACAAGCTTTGCATACACAGACATACTCTAATGAGTTGCTGAATGCTTAATGTTTTAATGCCTTCATTTTGCATTGTCAAGATGAATTCACATCAGACTACAATTGTACAATTGCATGTGCAAGACATAAATCAGAATTTATCAATACAATTCATTTTTAAAAGTCACACAAACAAGTCTTAAGACACTCTTGAGGTAATATAATATGCAATGCAAGCCATTTGGCTACTTGTCAAGCTATCTCTGCAGGTAGTTTTTGAAGTACACAGCGTACAGTAAATAAACACAAGCAAAAATGTCAGTGTGCTATGTCGAGGCTGTTGAGAGGAGCAGTTACACCATGTCTGTACTGTAAGCTAGGGGTGCAACACAACAAATTGTTCCAAATCTAATCAACACTGCAATTCTTGCTTGCATTGAAACACATAGACACAGTGTTACATCTGCTACAAAGCCTTTTTTGCTTGTAAACTTTGGGTATTAGCTTATGCAAGTACATTTTCACAGGTCAGCTGATGCATCTAACGCAAAAGCACTGCTAAGAGCATTAAACAAACTTTGCATTTGTCGCTCATTCCTTACAGCCTTATACAAAGGAAAGCCTCTGCGTAAAAAAGATGTATTTAAGCACAGATTTAGACCAAGGTTAGTATCATCCTTAGCTAAAACTGAATTGAAATAAAGCTGAAATAAAATAAAATATAAATATTAGTTGAAAAATATAAATATTAGTTGAAAAATATAAAATTAAATGAAAATGAGAAAATATATAAAACATAAATAGCAATATTGAAAATAAAATAAAAAATAATAATAAAAAAAATAATAATAAAATTTCCAAGATTTAAACTCGTGACTTTTTTTCCCCGGAATGTTTCGCAATTGCGAGTTTATATCTTTTATACTCTATTTTTCTTTTCTTTTTAAATCTTTAGACTTTATAAACTCACAATTGTGAAAAAATGTCAGAATTGTGAGATATAAACTCGAAATTGCAAGTTAAAAAGATTCTGAGAAAACAATGTCAGATCACAATGCTGACACTTTCTTGAAATTTATCTTGAAATTTCGAGTTTATTAGTTTTACTAATTTAAAAAAATAAAAAGTAATTAAAAATATTAATAGAACTATAATAAAATAAAAACTAAAATAACTCTCTCTGATTTAGGCTTCAGACTAGAATTAAAGAAACAACTAAACAAAACGTTTTAACAACAGAAATCACTTCAATGCAACAGGCTCAGAGGGACAGAGAAAAGGAGGACAGTTTTGTCAGAAAACAGACTTGATTGCCAACATTAAGAAAATGAACAGTTGGCACCAACCTGTCTGGTGCATATGGTCTCTGGCCAGCTCAAACAGACGCATGTGCTGGTGGGTAATAGGGTTGAAGGAGCCACAGGCCAGCAACACCAGAGGAATACGGCCAGCCATTTCAGTGTCTCACACCATATATTCTGGAAAACACGACAAATCAAGAAAATCCTTGATCACAAAGCAGCAAATATTTGCAATATGAGCACAGAACTAATTGGTTTGCAATGAAATGGAGAAGTATAGTATTTTGGAACAAATTATGTGATCTATGCATATTCAAGACACTCTATAATGTTCACACTTTAACCAAGCATTATTAATGAGGGATAAACATACAGCTCAATATTTAATACCAAATAAGTCACAGTAGTATGCCTGAAATGGACTTTACTCTCTCTGCAGTGAATTAGCCTGTGGATTATTGATTATTATGTACTAAGGTACTTTTTTAATAGTTTTAGTTTTTTAATATTATTATAAAGTAATAATTATGATATTTTCAGGTCAACCTGACTGGATTTAATAGGCTACGTTTCATTACAATAAATAAATTAATAGTATGAATAGTATGAATTCACACTATGAAAAATAGTAACTATTGCAAATAGCAAATCAGTATTATTATTATTATTATTATTGGGCTAATCATTGTGATGTTTATGTAATGTATGTTAATTATGCTGTCAACCATATTTCTGAGGAATCCCTCATTGATCACTGAAAGGCTTTAGTTTGGCTAAACATAAAACACGCTTATAGATAGTGTGATAAATTGACTGTTTTGTAAGCAATGGACTTTTTTTTTTTTTTGGCCAAAGTATATAGAGCAACAAGTAGGGCTTACAAATTACACACTGGACAAGGCTCACTTTGTTGACAAAACTACACTGTCTAAACCATACAATGTAAACAAACATACACCTATTATACCTATTATTTATTATTAAAATAGGTAAATAGATGGACGGATGGATGCAGAATACATGTAAATTCCCGACAGTAAAAAAACAAAAAAACAAACAAACAAACAAACAAACAAACAAACAAACAAACAAAAAACCTGCAATGACAAGTATGTGTATATGTGTATGGGGTACAAAATAGGGAAAGAAAAAGGACATGACAAAATGTGAACCAAAGACACGTATGTTCTACTACAGGTGACTTAAAAACACATGCATAAAATAAATCTATTAAAGCTGATCATGTGATTAAAAAGATACAAGGGAAAACTATAGCAGTTGGTATCCATGACACAATCATAGCTCATTGATACTAGATATCAGGCTATTGATATGCATACTTTGATACTGTATGATTACTTACTCATGTAAGTTACCATGGAATTGATATAATACGACACTACCATATTCAAAACATAAGGACAAATGAGGCCAGTACAGTTTGGAGAGCAGCAAAATCACGAAAATAAAAGTAGCTGGTTAAATTTGAGAGCTTCCAGTAAGTTAAGTTAACTTACTTACAATTTTCTGGCTGTTAAAATTTGGATTAAGGTCAGTAGCTAACGTTTACATTTTTAAAACAGATTTGAAACGTATTTATTTAATTTATGAGACTGATGCCGTTGTCTGATAAAATATGCAATCAAACAAAATGTTTAAGGTAAATGTGTACCTTATCCAAAGATCTCCACCAAGTTTACGCAAATGCTACATGCTATATCGTTAGCCGTATGTAACACTATTAATGTCCCCCAGAACATTAAGATGTAAAAACACAGTTCCTATCTACAGGGTGTGACAGCGGCCACTAGTGGCGAAAACAGAAGAGGCCAGTACATTCAATAAGAAAGAGACTATTGATTTCACACTGTATTTAATCATAATGACCGACCTCATTCGCTCTAACTGTATCTTTAATGACAAGGACTCGTTCAAAGTCAAATGATAACTATCGGTTCCTAATCTGATGGAGCAAGTCTTGTGGATTATTACAATTCTCAATGGGCACAATTCTGAAAGCAAGTCGATCTTAAAACACTCTATTATCCCTTTAAAGACCTAATATGAGGTGAATTATATTCATGTGGAACTGAGACTCTAATGAGGCGCAAAATACATTGATAACGACTCTATTGAAACAGTTACTCCATACATAGTCTAAGGATAGATTCACATCCACCTTCACTTGTTCCATTCGTAGCCTTTCATGCATTATGTATTACCCTTTTAACATAAATATCCAACCTGCGGGAGAAAGAGAGAGAAAAAAGCTTTTCTAATCACCCTTCAAGGGGACTTTCTGTTCCCCTTCAAAAAGGCACTTTGCACAATTATAGCTACTAAAGGGGAAATGGGCTGTAAAGATCCATACTTTGAGCTGCTCTAGCTAATGTGACTAATGTTGTGCCACACAAATGGAGTCATCATGTTCTTTGCATTGCATCATGCAGAGGGGATGGGCTTATAAACCGACTAAGTTTGGCCTTCACAATGTCATCTGTTTTGAGTCTGCATTTTTGCATCATGTATACCTACATATTAATCTACCTTAAAGTACAATATCAACCAAGAACATTTCAGAGCACGAATCAGAATCAGTCACCAACAGGGTTGCCATGAGATGAGAATGTCTCACTCCTTGCAAAGCGACCTCAAGAAGTTTCTAGTCACAGGCAGTAATTAAACGTTGATGACTCTAGGGTGACCCCTCTTGGGAGGTGGGTAGTACTGCCACAGATCCTGAGAACTCTCCAAGGTGCTGAAAAAAATGGACTCCACGAGCAAATGATGAATTCAGAGTCTAACGAGGCAGTGAAAAACACATAAAGCAAATAAAAAATGTAATATCTGTGGATGATGCATCACCTCCACTAGCTGTGGCTCCTAAATAAGTGATTCCTGCAAGAGAGGAGTTCAGACTTCATTTGAACAGATTGCTCTCATAAGATTTTAAATAGAATTGGAATTAATTATTTAGAGAGCTCAATAATAGCGAAAAGACACAGCTAAGACATATTACAGCTAGGCCTATATTATGAGTCTGGAGAGAGATGTGGGAATTAAGACACAAAGATTGAATATCAATAATAAAAACAGGTATAGGTCTATTTAACCTTTGTGTCAAGTGACTTGGAACGCTGATATAGGCCTATACAACCAGTTCCCGTCTTTGTGTCTAGCGCTAGAGGCGTCTGACCACACTTGAAACTTTCACTGTATATTTTTGCTTGTCTATGTTTGTGCATTCCAGACAAGTGTTGCTGTCAACTAAAACAAGAACTATTAAAACTGTTAAAAATTGAAATTGAAATAAAGTAAATAAAGTAAAATAAATATAAATACTATAAATAAATGGGTTTGAGCTGAATTAGGCTAGCCAACTAAAACTAAAATATATAAAATTATATTTTTTACAGAAATATAAAAAAACTAAGAGAAATGACAAAAGCAAAAATACTGAAGTTTAAAATTAAATTATAATGTAAACTGTAAATGTAAAAAAAATAATTTTTACAAAAATTTAACTGATTTAATATCAATACATATTTTACTATAGGAACTTTTTAACAGAATTAAAAAAAAACATATATTTTCAGTGAAGTCGAGTACTTTCCACATTTGGCATGGAACTTTCACAGCGACGCCATCTTTGATTTTTAACGGGAATTGAAAGTAATGCTGTGTGAGAGGTATAAAAACACAAGCAACATCTCTTCAGGACAGGCTGTACTGTTATTTAATATTTTTGGATTGTTCTGCTGAAGAAAAACACTGCAAAATATCTTTCAGAGAAATTTCAGTAGACAAACCCAGACAATTTGAGCGGTGGAAATGTATACGTATAGCTATAAGTGATTAAGGAGCTTTCAAAACCGATGCCATTAAAAATAGTCCTCCTATAAAAGTTTATCCCTCACAGCCTTCACAGAGCCTATATGGCGCTGCTCTGAATAAGGTTTTGTCTCCAATTTTGTAAGGTCATAATTCAATAATCGCCATGGCTCACCATTGGTAGCTACAGAACTTCGATGGTGCAGATGGTGTTGCTTCTGTTGATGTAAGATCCTGCTGGTGGAGTAATTAAAGATTGCAATCCGAAACCGAGGATATCGATGCGAAACTGAGTCTGTGTAGCCTACATCATGCTTCAGGTATTCCTCCCGTATAGAGAACTCAGCTCTTTCCTCTCATGTTTGCTCTGTGCGGGATGTTTAGACTTGCAGATGCGTTGATAAAAGAGTGAAGAAGCTTTCACCTAGAGCAAATTTACTCAACAGAGAACGCATCCCCTGAAATGCAACAAGCCAAACGATTGGAATGAATGAGCGCAAATGTTTTTTTGCAATCTATCAGCTGTGCAGGTAAATTAGGTTTCATGAAGACTGGGGAAATAATATGGCATTTTAAACCAGCTCATTTTTTTTTCAAGCATTGCAACTGAAACGATTATCAGAAATTCCCGCAGGCTTTTGCGAAATTGACATTTAACTAAGAAAAAATAGGGAATGAAATGAGCAAAAGAATGAGTTGTGGGTTAGAATTTAAATGGATTTCTGAAAGTTTTCTTTCTCAGTATGAAACCTTTTTATAAAGACTGACTTTTATGCTTTTTCATTGTCTTGACTTGTCATATTTACACAATGCAGATTTTAATATATTATAATATATTAATACATAACTAAAATAAATTGCTTTGAAATGTTTAAAATCACAACTTCATCTGTTACAAAACTTGGTGACTTTTATGACATTAGGTAGGCCTATATGAACAAAAATAATCACACTTGTGCTCTTTAGTCAAAAATGATCGACCACATAGCAAATGAATGGGAAATAACACAAAAAAAGTCTGAGAACTTTTGTGTGTAGGCTACAACCTACAAATCGGACACGATGCAGAAAAAAAAGTTTTCAACAATGAAGGGGTGACTAAAACACCAAGAGTGCAAAACAGACACACTCACCCACACACAAACAGTCTTTTTATACACATACACACCAATGAATTGTGACCGACCATAGGAAATGAATATGGAAGTTGACAAACACAAATTCTCTACAAATCAGCCACATCAACAGTGAAAAACACAACATAATTAATTAGTATATATATATATAATTATTAAAATGATTAAAATAATAATTAATTTAATGTTTAAAAATATTAATAAATTAATATTTAAAATATTAAGCTGTGAAAAAGCATTACTGTTTATTTATTTTATTTTATTATTGAATTGTAATGTTACCTGTGACAAAATGCTCTCTCTGTATTCAGGTTTGACTGTAATAATGCAAAAACGTGTACACTTCACATCAAATTTATACATTTTTTTTTATATAAACCATGGCAAAAAGTATTTGAAAATTTCAAAAAAATATGTTCAAACATCTTAAAAGTAAGTCATTTTGTCCAAAAACAACTATAGCTCTACTGGCATAGTGGTTACACCATGAATTACATGTTTTATTTTATTTTCTCTCAACAGTTCTGACTTCAAAAATTGCATTTAAAAGGTCTGGTCTCTGTAAATATTGCATAAATAGTAATAAGTAACATAAAATTCTCTCAAAATACAAAATTAAAAAGAAAAAATATTACTGAACAAAAATAAAATGCATTGGTTTTACTGGGATGGAGAAAGTTTCATTTTTAGGTGTCCGGTCACTTCTGACCGGAAGATAACAAGTGTGTCTCCGTAACGAATAGCATCTGAGCATGCTTTATTACTTTGCCTATAGTAAGGCGTTATTTACCGTTTTTTTGATATCTTTCATTGAACTGAGGTAGCAGTCTCAAGAGAGTATGTGGAAATGAGAAGACCTTCAGTTCACGGCTGAACACTCATTAAAAGCTTTTCCAGTCAACCTGGGCACATGGGAAGTCTACAGTACACTTGCTCTTTTTCCCAGTAGCTGACAAACCTTACTTCTTCACCTGAGGGGAAAACTTAGGTAGGCCATGAGTCGCCATCAGAAATGAGCATACAGAAATCTTGAGAATACACTCTGCATGTAAAGTGGTAGTTTCTACAGGAAAGAGGTTATGATTTAGTACACACATGGTCAATGCATGGGAGGACACCGAAAGGTAATTTTCAAGGACAACCATGAAAAAAAAGGAAATTAATATGGATTGAAAATGGTCTTAGAGAAAACGGATTAGCCTACAGCAGCTCAGAAGACTGCATTTCAAATCAGTGTGACTTTTGAAATGTATCATAATCAAAAGAAATTCTGTTAATTCCAAATGTGAACAAACAGCGTGAAAATTTTACAACTTTGATTTCCAGCATTTGATGTACGCTATGCTGTTAAATATATTGATTAACACCAAATACAGGTGGTAAAACCATATATATATATATATATATATATATATATATATATATATATATATATTATATATATTTACTTTTATTACAGTATTTTATGGTAAAATGTCCTGTTACATGCATTATATTTGACAAGATAACTTAAAATTAACCAAATCAGTTGTTTAAAACAATGGCATAAAAAAATAGCATCTCAAACACTTATTACACACTTATACACACTCATATGTGTGTGTATTCGCAGTACTGAAAGTGTTTCATATTTTATGATGATTTACAGCAATGCTTTAGATACCTTTTACCATAGCCAATGAAATGCAAACATGATAAACCATAAAGAAAAATTCCCAGCACTGTTGTTTTTGTTATTGTTAGTCATTTTTAATGTGCCTGGGAGGCACAGGACAAC